ATATTCTCAAGTGAAGATTAAAAATAACAAAAAAGGAGTGGGACTTAAAGTTCATTTGTATAGAAATGATATGACTAAGAAAATGTTATTAGACAAATCAAAAATGGGAAGGACATGAGGGTCACATACAACTAAATCCCCTCTTCCCTTATCACGGCTCCCTCTAGGCAACTGTCGATCAAGGAATGGGCAGGAGCACAAGGAGAAATCCATGAGATTTCACAATCGCCTTGTATGTAGCATTACTTTTCCTCAAAAAACATGGAGCGTTCACACATTTTCTCTAACGGTACCCCTAGATTACTAGTAACATACCCATTATTGTCTCAAATGATCGGTATAGGAAATGACATTCTACCAGCAAAGTGGCTAAAATAGTGCCCCCAGAGTCCGGCCGGTGTGGCTCAGCAGTTGAGCATCAACCGATGCACCAAGAGGTTGCAGGTTCAATTCCTGGTCAGGGCACATGCCCAGGTTATGGGCCCAATTCCCAGTAGGGGGCATGCAAAAGGCGGCCAATTGATGTTTCTATCTATCTCTCCCTCTCACTTCCCCTCTTCTAAAGTAAAGGGAAAAAAATAAAAAATAAATAAAAAGAGTGCCCCTAGAAACTTTCTGCTTGAACATATAATCATTTGAAGCTGGACCCTGACTTTAGAGGGGTCCAATCAGCTACAAAGAGGGGTCCCTGTTGTATATACAGATTATATTTATGCAGGACTCCTAGTTCCTGGAAAGAATATTTGACTTAAAAATAAATAAAAGTATTTCCTCATACTAAAATTGGACACATTAGAGGGCAGGATTGGAAATACTCTTCTCAAGCTATGGAATAAAATGCTAAGAAATGATCCTGAAAGTAAATCAAAAGGATAATTTTTCTGATTCAGATGGCAAAACTGATGAGCAAGGTTAGGAAGGGTGAAGGAAGGCTGGATGACAGTCCCACGGATGCTCTGCAGGTCCCCGGGCACCAGTTTACTTAACAGGCCATGGGATTTGCTCTGTGCGCAATAAAAAATACCACATTTTTAGTTAGTTTTACATGTTCATATATAATAATTTTCTTCTATAGATATGTAAGCACCTTAGTCTTTATTTTATAGTCTGTTTTTAAGTATCTTGCATTATAGGTAATCCTAATGAGTATTTAAACTTGTGAAACAAATTACAAAATGATATATCACAAAGCAAAATTTATTTTTAAAGGATTTCATGTCACATAATCCCCTAGAGGATTTTTAAAAATGTAAATGTGGCCCTGGACAGTTTGGCTCAATCGTTACAGTGTTGGCCTATGGACCAAAGAGTCGCGGTTGGATTCCCAGTCAAGGGCATGAACCTCGGTTGCAGGACACAGGAGGCAACCAATCAATGTGTCTCTTTCACATCGATGTCTCTCTCTCTCTCTCCTTTTTACTCTATCTAAAATAATCAATGGGAAAATATCCTCAGGTGAGAATTAACAAACAAAAGAATGTAAATGTGAATTATGAATTCAATACATACAATACAGAAACTGATACAATTTAAATATTATCACAAATTATATACAGCTTTTGAAAAAGTTTATTATAAAAGTCTATAATAAAATATCAGCAAGTAGAGGAGAAAGGTAAAACTGACTTTTCAAAAGTATAAATAGCAGAATTTATTCCTGACATATTTTTTTCATAAGAAACGATACAGCCCTGGCCGGTTTGGCTCAGCGGTTAGAGCATCGGCCTGCAGTCCAGAGAGCCCCAGGTTTGGTTCCCGCTAGGGGCGCATACCTCGGTTGCAGTTTGTCCCCGGCCCTGGTTGGTCGTGCGGGTGGCAGCCACTTGATGTGTCCCTTTCATGTCGATGTTTCTCTCTCTCTCTCTTCCTCTCTCTCCCTCCCATTCTACCTGAACAAAAAATGGAAAAATGTCCTCGGGTGAGGATAAAAAAAAATGATACAAAGATTTAAAAAGATTCTAGTAAGATGTGATTTTTTAAAAGCCAAGGTAAAAGACCTATAAAACAATAATTACTCATGATTAATAAAAATATTTTACCATTGAAGAATAAATTTTTGGACACAGAAACTGAAAGTATTAAGAAATTTTCCTTTATTTCTTGAACCCTGGCTTTGAAAAATTATTCAACTTTTACTCAGGAAAGCCAAGTACAAAATCAAGATAATACAGAGAGTTCAAATCAGTGAGGTGCCACAATATAATTAACTTTCATTTCACAGGTGGGAGAATGGGCAGAAATGGAGTAATGAGTACTAGTGGTTACTCATCTGGATGAAAATATAATGCCCCGTGTGCCCAGGAACACAGAAGGTTAGAATTGCAAGGGGTCTCAGATTATCAGTGGTCATTTATTCTACTGGCCAGTATGCATATATCTCATAAACTGATGATTTAGGAGGACACATGCTGGCAACTTTTAATCCTTCTAATAGCTGAAGGATGTAGTATGAAAGAAGCCAAATCAAGGATCAGTGGATGAGCAAATTACTACCTGCTTCATTCCTCCCTCATCTTAGATATCCACATTATATGCTGAACCAATCAGGGATTCCACCATGGTGGTGCCACCTGCATCCTCAGGGTGCTTCCTTTTCCCTATCCTTGTAGTTGCAGGGGAATACATTGTGCAATTGTTTTGCCGGATTGGCTGACCTAAATCACATGAACATGTGTTCTGTTTAAGATGTGTCTGAGCCCGGGGCCAGTGTGGCTTAGTAGACAGAGTGTCAGCCTATGCACTGAAGGGTCACGGGTTTGATTCTCAGTCAAAGGTGCGAACTTGGGTTGCAAGTTCGATCCCTAAGGCAGCATTTAATGTGTCTTTCTCACATCAATGTTTCTGTTTGTCTATCTCTCCCCCTCCCTCCCTTCCACTCTCTAAAATTCAATGGAAAAAAATACCCTCGAGTGAGGATTTTTACAAAAATGTGTTTGAAATTGGGCTTAATGCCTTCTGACCTTTCACTAGGGACTTCTGGGTTTCTTTTTCTGCACATTTCCTGAGATTGCTCTGCTAACTCTCAGGCTCCTTTATTGCACTCAGATTGTTGGCTTCAGTTACACAGAGGACAGATTAATCATATTCAACAACCCTCTCCCTGGAATTGATCTGAGTTTGAAAAAGGTGGGGCTTAAAGTAATCGTAGCAGTACTTTTCATTCTCATCCTTATACATCTTATTTACCTCATGGAAAACATTTTTCTTTACCTTTATTTTTCTAATATGTTTTTATTGATTTTTTAGAGAGAGAGGAAAAGAGAGATAGGAACACTGATGTGATAAAAGAACATTGATCAGCTGCCTCCTGCACACCCCCTACTTGGGATTGAGCCCACAACCCGGGCATGTGTCCTGATCGGGAATCAAACCAGGACCTCTCATGGGTCAGTGGATTGAGCACCATGCGATTGATGTTCAATCCATTGACCCACACCAGCCATACTCTTCATCTTTCAAGGTGACCCAAAAGCATCCAAAAATGGGTCTCCAAAAAGTACAGCATGTGTCCGCTAATTAACTGCCGAAATTCATTCTCTCTCTCTTTTTAATCCTCACCCGAGGACATGCTTTTATTGATTTTAGAGGGAAAGAGAGAAAGAACATTGATGTGAGAGTGAAACATGATTGATTGCCTCCTGCACTCACCCAGAAAGGGGATGGAACACAAAACTTGGATATGTGCCCGACCGGGAATCCAACCCAAGAACCTACACTCCAACAAACTGAGCCACATCCAGCCAGGGCCAAAATTCACTCTTTAAAAGCAAACATATCAGGACTATGTAGTCATTAAAAAGAATGAGCTTGAGCTAAGTGTTCTGAGATTTGATGTTTATGATGAATGGAAAAAATAAGTCATAACAGTACATCTGTAGTTCCATTTAAAATATGTACACATATTTGCCTGTAAAAGGCATGGAATGATGCACACAGTGATTGCATTTTAAGAGCAGGATTGTAAAGTGTAGACAGGCTGAGGAAGGGGACTTGCACTTTTTCCTTTACTCATTTCTGAATTGTTTGGATTTTTCAGAGTGTATAATTAAATTAAATTCTTAAAAGTTAATTAGGAAACACATTTACCAAGAATCCTTATCAATCTTCATTGCATTTAAAGTCCGGGAAACTGTTACATTCTTGGTTTGACAAGTTCCATGGAGAGTTCAATTCCTTCACCAGACATTCCTTGCATAACAGTTCTTTGCTGGGGACCAGGCTACCAAGAATAACACCTGGTCCATGACAGGATGGAATCTGCCCCAGAACGCAAATAAGAGGAAAAGTGAATTTGGTACAAATGGGCACTGTCATCACTAGGGATACATCAGCTCCCTCACTTGATTCACAATTGGCCTTCCGTAGGCTGCATCTTTTGGCAGCACTATTGGCAGACGTCATCCTCTCATTCTTAAAAGTCAAATTTAGGATTAGGACTCCAGTTAATACAGCTAAACGGGGGTGTCCCTGGGAAATGAGAAATCCCTGAACATACCCACTGGAGTACCCAGAATAGATTTTTGCAGCTGCACATAAATCCTGTCTTGTTTGGAGTCTCTGCTGAGTAATGTAGATTATGGGACTGCCAAGGGGCAGCTGGTGACTTTGAACCAAATTTTACCTTTCAATTGAATCCAGGGAAATAATTTGCAACAAAGTGGCAAACAATGCAAAGTGCTATGTTGAACGCTCGATTGTGCTTTATTTTTTTCCTCCCAACTTCACGTCTCCATGCACCAAAACGTTGATGCTACAAATATTGGATGCCACGCTTACCTGATAGGCTTCTTCCATCCCACCTGGGCGCCGGGGCGCTGAGTGAGCGCGCGAACCGCGGCTGGAGCCCGCCTCTCGCGGCAGCAGCGGGCTCAGTCGGCCGCGGGTTCCCTCGCTGGCCCCGGTGCCGGAGCAGCTCCGCCGCCGGGGCTCCCGCAGTCAGGACCCCGCGCGCACGCGCGCTCCCCTCGGGCAGTCTCTGCGCCTCCAGTTTTCCGCAGGGTTGCGACTGGACGGCTCCGGCGGGCTGGGCGGGGCGGGGAGAGAGCGAGTGCTCGCGGCCACGTGACCAGCGCCAACATGGCGGCGCCCAGCGGCGTTCACCTGCTCGTCCGCAGAGGTAAGCACCTGGAGGACAGCCCCGCGCGGGTTTGCACCGTCGCTCACTCTCTGTGCACACAGATTCAAAGGGACACACATTCGCGCCAGACATCGCGGTGCACAGGAATGTACTTTCAGGTCTACGGAGACGCGCAGGCACACTCGATGACACACTGACACGCCGCGGGAACAGACAGCACATTTCTTCACTTGTCACTCGCCTACACCACGTCACTGCGTGGCACCTGCTCGCAGTCACTCCTTGAGATTGATGGGCCGTTGTCTGAAGTTTTCTTTCCCAACCTCAGCTGTGTGATCAGTGATTAAATAAACAAACATTTATTCCGGCTGCGGGCGATGAACCTGAGGTGACGGAAATGCGCCTGGACACCAAGTTGCCACAGAGAAGGCACACTTGTATCTGTCGGCATGATACAACACGCTTTTGTGGGGGAACTTGCAAAATGGGATTATGTTCTTCCAGTGATTTAAGGCTAAGAAAAGGAGAAATGATATCTGGGTAGCTCTCAGTAAGTTTTATCCTCTGTGAGGAGTGAATTTTTTAGTAAATGTACAAATACTTATGCAGTTGAATTAGGGAAGTCTTTGTTGGATTTGAACTAGTTTCTGAGTGTTTGTTGGAAAGAACTAGGAAGTTGTTTCAAGGTTGGGGAAAGGGGTAACATATTTTGAGAGACTACTTAGGTGACAAGCATGTAGGAATAACATTCCTGTGAAGTAAATATTTTTAGAGTAAATAGCAATGTTTATTAAGTGCCTTATAGTACACAGCACCGTGTTAAGCACTTTATATATGCTAGCTACCTTATAAACTCAATGAATTAGGCATTATTCCCTGTTTGCAGATGAGAGAAGTGAGACAGAAGTCAAGTAATATGACTAGTCACACAGATTGTAAGAGGCAAAATGGGTATTTGAACATGACTGACTTTTTTTTTAAGGCTTATTTCTCGGCACTGCATGGCATGGTTTTTCCATAGAAATCAATGTGCAAAGTTCAGGACAAGTATGATGCGTGTGTGTGTGTGTGTGTGTGTGAAAAGCAAAGAGGAATCGTTTTTAGAGAGGAAGGAGGTAGGCAGATAAACCTCCGTATTTCAGTGTTCGTGGAGGTGAGTAAGGAGCCAGAGGAAGATTTGAGGTGAGAGATGTGTAAGGGGAAGGTGATGTAGGCAGTATTTTGAACTGGTAGAATGAAAGAGTGGAGTTCGAGTGAGCCTTGTGAAAAGAGCACCAATTTACATCTCTTAAGATCTGGGCTCCAGTCCAAACTCTATTTACCAATCAAATTACTTTTCTGTTTCCTCTGTTGACAAGAAGTAATGGCAGTTAAACTTTTTTGAGCACTGCAGAGAATGGTGACAAGGATCTGGAGATACAGTCAAGGTAGAGGAGGAGGCAAAACACTCACACACACACACACACACACATATATACACACCTGTATACATATGTATATGTATATAATCTCTTTGCAAATTACAGAAATCACATATTAATCTTTTTTGTCATGATTTTGGTAAATGGTTCAGACAATCTTGAGAAAGCTACTATGGGAAAACCAGGCCTAGTTATTGGTTCCTATAACCCATCCCACTAGACCTCACAGTGCTGCACCAACTGAGAAAGGGGAAAGGGAACTATGTCATCAGGAAGAGATTTAGTGATAGAGAGAGGTCCCCTTTATAGAATATTCATAGCTAGTTTTAAATTACAAACAGGTTTTCTATAGCACCTGCTCCCCCCCTCCACCCCCATCCGGTTGAAAATGAACAGTAAATTTGTGAAGGAGGCTCCTCTTTCCTTTTTCTTCCTCCTTTTCACCCATTTAGAGTGTTGTACCTCAATCTATTATAAGTGTTTATGTGCCAAGATTTATCATCAGCATCTATGTGCATCTTTTTCTCCTGGGAAATGGTAAAAAGACCTTTTTAACCTCTTAAGAAGGCCATAAGGTTTTCCTTGTGACTCTCCAGCTCGTAGCTTTAGTAACAATATACTCTGTATATAGTAGTTACCAACCTCTTCTCACTATTGCATTCCTAACTAGATTGTTAATTCTTGTTGAACTGTGTCTTATCTGTCTGTCTTAACAAGCATAGTACTTGGCCTGAAGTCAAACTTATTAAAAACATAGTGAATTGAGCAGGGCCGGTGTAGCTCAGTTGGTTGAGCTTGTCCTACGCACCAGGAGGTTGTGGGTTTGATTTCCAGGCAGGACATATGCTCGGGTTTCGGGCTCAATCCCCAGGAGTGCAGGAGGCAGCTAATCAGTGTTTCTATCTCTCTCTCTCTTTTCCTTCCTCTCTCTGAAATCAATAAAAACGTATTTTGAAACAAACAAACAAAGAACAGAACTGAATTGAGAGGCTGTTAAGACTTGTTCTCTTCTATCAAGGGCTAAAGGATGGGTAGAAACTATGAGTAGTGACAATGGAAGGGATGGATCAGTCTCTTGGAACTAGGAGCCTTTTAGGGAGTACAGTATCTACACATAGTAAGTACTCAGTTTCATAACTGAATGAAAGACCTCTCAGAATGAAACCTCCTATAGAAATATTTATGAACAAAAGTTTCTGTGAGAATTTAATCCCGGGTCGTTTGAATTGTCAGACTTATTAGAATTTATTATGGGAAAAAGGAGATTGGAATGGGAGAAGGGAAGAAATCTAAACAAAAAGAAGTGCTTACAGTCCAGAGAGACCCAGGTTCAGTTCTCACTAAGGGCATGTACTTCGGTTGCAGCTTGTCCCCGGCCCTGGTTGGGTCGTGCGGGTGGCAACCACTCGATGTGTCCCTTTCATGTCAATGTTTCTCTCTCTCTTCCTCTCTCTCCCTCCCACTCTATCTGAACAAAAAATGAAAAAATGTCCTTGGGTAAGGATAGAAAAAAAAAAAAAAGTACTTAAAATTTAAGCAGTTTAGCCATGGTAGAGAAGAAAGCTGATAGAAGTAAACCCTTAGACCTAAGCACTATCCTGCTGACCTTCCGCAGTTCATGTGGAGGGAGCTGAAGCTGTGAGAGGAGGGGGGCAGACTGTTGGCAAGTTCGGAAGAAAGTCTAAGAAAGGCACAGTTGGTGCATGTGTGAAACAGTCTGGCCTTTCCAGAGGGCTGTGTGGCAGTGTGTATGAAAATGTAAGATATCTAACAATTCTGCTTTTAGGAACTTATTATAAGAGAGCAATAGGATGAGTGTGCAAAGATGTATGAATAAGAGTATTACTTATAATAACTGAGAAATATTGGACAGAAACTGAAATGTCCATAAGTAAGAGAATGACTAAATAAATTATGGTTCATTTATGCAATGGAGTGATATGCAGCCATTAAAAAAGATGCCGTAGCCCTGGCCAGTTTGGCTAAGTGGTTAGAGCCTTGGATCAAAGAGTCTAGGGTTTGATTGCAGGTCAGGGGCATGTACCTTGGTTGCAGGTTCAATCTCCAGCCTTGGTCTGGGTTGTACAGGAGACAAACAATCAATGTGTCTCTCTCACACTGATGTCTCTCTCTCTCTCAAGGGCAGATTGATTCCTGGCCCCTGTCTCTCTCTCTCTCTTTCTCCCTACCTCCCTCTCTCCTTCTCCCCATCTACCTCTCTCCCTCCCTTTCTCCCTCCCTTCCACTCTGCAAAATTCAATGGAAAAATGTCCTTGGGTGAGGATTAACAACAACAACAAAAAGATGATGTAGATGTACTATAGACTTAAATAGTCATTGACATATACTGAGAAAGAAAAAGCAGGATATGGAACAGTATATCCTACTTATGTAAAGTACATATCTTTGTTTTCTTATGTATATATACACACAAAGAGATACAGAGAACGATGCTTACCCAAGGGTTAATGGCGGTTTTTATAGATCAGGGGTAGGAACCTTTTGTCTGCCAAGGACCATTTGGATATTTATAACATCGTTCATGGGCCATACAAAATTATCAACTTAAAAATTAACCTGCTATATTTGGTCAAGCTAATTTGGTGAGGCATGTGATGTTAGCTGGTATTGATTTTTTGGGCTTTATACGGCCCAGGCTGGACATTCCCCACCCCTTTGATAAATGGTGAGATTGCAATGATTTTTACTTTCTTTGTACTTGACGTGTTTGAATTTTGTACACTGAGCAGACAGCAGTTTTGTTATCCAAAGTAGTAACTTTTTTTCACTTTTTAAAAAAAAATTACTATATTACAAATTATATAGATACTTTGCTTTGTTGCAGAGAGTATGTATAGTAAAAGACATTTTCCCCTCGCTCTTGTCCCATTCCAACATTAAATACCTTTTGAATTTATTTATCTCTCTCTCTCTCTTTAAAGGCATTGTTCATTTGTGACTCTAAGGCCATAGATTCTTCCATTGAGAATTCTCTTATCATGGTGGTTTTTCAAAACTTTAACCTCTATGTAAGGGAGGGGCTATTGTACATCATGAATTAAGTACTTTAAATTTTGTCAACCAACCTGAGATCCTTACTATCTTGTATATCTTCTGTAGGAAAATATATTCTGTTCTACCAAACCAACTTAGAATTAAATTTTGGCATACAGTCTATGTGTGATGTGGACAATGCTGTTAATAAAAAGCTTCCTGTGACTTAAACTCTATTTATGTTGCTAGCCAGAGAATAAAAATGGATATTGGTTATAAGAATTTTTTTGACAACTACCTTTCAACTCAATTATAATATGGCTTGTTGTTACTTAGATTAAGATATACGTAATCAAAAGACTTAAGTGTAAAACTAGAAACCATAAAACTCCTAGAAGAAAACCTGGACAGTAAAATCTCTAACATTTCTCTTAGCAATATTTTTTCTGATACATCTCCTTGGGCAAGGGAAAAAAGAAGAAAAAAAAACAAACAAATGGGACTACATCAAACTAAAAGGTTTTTGCACAGCAAAGAAAACCATCAACAAAAAGAAAGACAACCTACTGAATGGGAGATGATAGTTACCAATGACACATTTGATAAAGAGTAACTATCCTAAAT